GCAATTTAGGGTTCAAGTTTTCATAAGCTTTATGTATGTGTGCATATGCTTTCTCTCTTAAACCCTGTTTGTAACTTTCAGAACAAGAGTTAGAAATAAATACTATAACCTGACTCTGAACTCCAGAAGAATGATATTACTTGCTATGTATCTATACACTAAGGCTATATATATGCATTCCATCACATACACTCACCTTAAAAAGTAACAACTGGAATGATTATATTTTTTCTGGTAGAATTACTGTGTTTTGAGAGAACATTTGTGGAAACCCTGGATATTTGGGTTGTAATTAAACTTAAGAAAAATAGATTTCATGTCTTAATTTCCATGATGAATCAGTCTCATATGCTTAAAAATTTTGGTAACTGCTACTCTAGAACTCAGGGTTTACTCTCAACAGTGCTTGGAGACCATATCTAGTGTGGATTTGAACTGGGGTCCACCTCATGCAAGGCAAGCACCTTACCTCCTGTACTAATTCTCCAGCCCAGGTGCCTTTTAAAATGTACCTAAAATTAGACACTGTATGTGGATTATAAATACTGAATAAGCAAAGAAAAAATATTAACATCTATTAATTCTAATTTTGTTCTATAATAAAGATAATTTCAGAGTAAGGAGGTTTTTACAATTTGTTATAACAGAAAAAATAAATAAATAACTTAGAATTAGAGAGATAGTATGGCAAGTAAGGCACATGCCTTTCAAGCTACCAGGCAGGGTTCAATCCCTAGCACCAAGTATGATCCCCTAAATACCACCAGGATAATCCCTGAGAACAGAACCTAGAGTAAGACTGAGCACAGCCAGACGTGGCTCAAATTAAAAACATCAAAAATAAAATAAAATACCCCCTCCCCAATGGGCTCAATTTAAGTGATATAAAAACATTAATATAGAAAAAAATTTCCAAAACACATAATATATTCAGTTTCAATGAATATACAGAGTTGGGAAGAGATAGAAGAATACAATGCAAGTCCATAAACATATGCAGAGGCATGAATATAACGTAAAAAAGGCAATTAAAACCACCTTATGAAAACAGTTTATGAAAACAGATCTACCTTATCAAATAAAAGTAGAAACAACTATTAGTCTATGATTCAGCAATTCTACTCCATGGTATATTCCCTATAGTAAGTCCTGTATTGATGGGCCAGTAGACATAGAATAAAAATGTTCATAGTAGCCTGCTAGTAATAGCAAATAAAAGGTTAAAAAACAAAAACAAAAGGTCAAAGCTTGCCTTAATGAATACATTTTAGTATATTCCCATTCTGGTATATGAAACAGAATTGAAAATCAACTAGGATTATTCATAGCAAAATTAACAAGTCAAATATTATATAGAAGACTAACACCCAAGAATAGCCAAGATAAGTACTAGGAGGTTCACTCCATGGTTTGGAGGTCAGCTGTCCATGCTAGGGGGAAAAGGCAGCTCAGATAGAGAAGGGAGCACCAAATAAAGGGTGTTGGAAGGATCCTCCCAGGATGGAAGATGCATGCTGAAAGTAGACTATAGACTGAACATGATTACCAATCAATGCCTCTTTTGCAAACCACAGCACCCACAAGGAGAGAGAGAGAGAGAGAGCAAAAGGGAATGCCCTAGGGGGTATGGTGCCACCAGCAGGTCAATCTGTGCCTGTGAAGCGAGTGCATCAGCAGCCTGATGGCACCATCAGACTTTCAGATACCCCAAAATTGCTGCTGTGTCTTTGGCCAGACCCCAAAAACTTGGGGCAAAGTTTACCAAGAAAGTAAACGGCCAAAAGTTAGGTATGTGGGAGACACACCCACAAACCACCTCTGGCTCAGCTATATAATTGGAGGCATGGCCTCTCTGATTCTTGATCGAACTGCTTAATGGCCATGATCCCAGAGACTCGGAAACGAATCTCGGAACCCAAAAGGCTTTTGGCAGAAACGCGTCCTGTTCCTGCAGTAGGTTACTGGCGCTGGGCCACTCCAGGGGGGAATAGGTTTTGTGCCTTGGCTTGTTCCCCTTAGCGGCCCGGTGACCGCCATCCTCCAGAGGCCACTGGACAGTCAGGTTTGGGCCTGCAGTGACAAGACATGCTTGTCATCACCAGATGGGGGTGGAATCAGCCCTTTCCTCCCCATTCCAACGAGACCCCGAGTCACCGCCTACAAACAGCCTCTCTGGCTCCTGATAAAGCTGCTTAACGACCATGATCCCAGAGACTCAGAAACAAATCTCTAAACCCAGCGACTTTTGGCAGAAATGCATCTGGACCAGATACAAGGTGGCCGCCGCCTCAGAGCTTATTAAAAAGCCAGGTATGGCCGGCAGTGACGGGGCAACTGCAGTCTCATGGGAAGTGGGGTGATACCAGCTCGTTCTTCATGCCTCACCGAGGTCACAAGTTGCCCCCCACGAGCCGCTCTCCGGCACAGCCATGGCTACAGAGGCAAAAGAACTTAATCCAGAGCCCAGAAATTTGCGGCAGAAAAATGAATGGACCATACATTAAACTATGGCGCCACGCCTCCCTGGGAGGGAAAGGGTGTTGCTCCCTTCTGCCTTGTGTGTGTGTGTGTGTGTGTGTGTGTGTGTATGTGATCCCCCATCCCCCCCCCCCCCCCAGCAGCAAGGTGGCTGCCACCTCAGAGCTTATTGGAAAGCCAGGTATGAGCCAGCAGTGACAGGGCAACTGCAGTCTCATGGGAAGTGGGGCAGTAACAGCTCGTCCTTCACACCCTACTGAGGTCACAAGTTGCCCCCCATGAGTGGCTCTCCGGCACAGCCATAACACCAGATGCACAGAAACCAAATTCAAAATCATTATATGATTCTCATAACCAGTTATAAAAAACAAAGTATTTCACAATGTCTTTTCAGCAATTCTGATTGTTGGGGGGGGGGGGGGAATTCTAAACAATAATGGTGCATCTTTTGTCAAAATAATGAATGTAATCAATGTAGAGAAGAGTTAAGTGGAAATCATCTCCCGCACAGGCATTGGGAGGGGTGGGAGAGGGGGTATATTGGGGTTCTTGGTGGTGAAAAATGATTACTGGCGAAGGGAAAGGTGTTTGATCATTGTATGACTTACTTAAACCTGAAAGCTTTGTAACTTTTCCCACAGTGATTCAATAAATATAAGAAAAATAAATAAATAAAATTATGAAAAAAAAGTAAGGTGGAGTTCATGCCCAATTCAATCAGCTAATCAGTGCCTGAATAAATAGCAGTACTCCTACATTTAAAAAAAAAAAGGAATGCTCTGCCACAAAGGCAAGGTGGTATGGGGGGGGGGGGGGAAGGGGGGGGAGGGATACTGGGATCAGTGGTGGTGGAAAATGGGCACTGGCGGAGGGATGGGTACTCAATCTACTCAATCACTGCATAATTGATACCCAAGTACAAAAATTTGTAAGTCTACAACTGTACCTCATGGTGTTTCACTAACAAAAAAAAAATTACAAAAAGAAAAAAATATCAAATATTACAAAAAAGGTGATTAAGTCACAGAAATTGATTCAATTTATGTCATATTAATCTAAAGTCAGAACCAGTTAAAATTTAAGAGTATCTGTAACATATTCATAAATATTACTGTGATTAAATGCTTAACAAAATCTAAAATAATAGTTTTTTTGGGTGGGAAGAAAGGACAAACACAATATGAGGTTCAACTAAAGGCTACAAAGGATTTTAGATATTTTCTACTTCTAAAGATGGTTAATGAGCAAGTAGATGTGTTTAAGTCTCAGGCATAATATTTTGTAATAAAACATTTAAAATACCAGGTGTTCCAAAATGGTATGCAGTCAAAAACCAATATAAAGGAAAATAAATACCAAGACAAGGTTTCCAAGAATTATACTAGAATAAAAAACTGTTATGTTTACCCATCTGTTTACCTAGCAGATCATTAAGTTTCTCAAATATATGGACACAATAACTGCTGATGCTTAAAACATATAAATGAGTAACAGTTTTACATTTCAATGACCTCAGATACCATTTGCTAAGGAAAGACTTTATTCACTACACTGTTTGTTTTTCCCTAAAAGGCAGTCATTGAACCACTGTTAAAGATCAATGCAGGAACGTTTTCTAAAACATTTTCAGAACAAAGGCTGGTGAGACAGCATAAGGGGCTGCAGCTCTTGGCTTGTCTGAGTTAGGCCCAAGTTTGATCCCCAGCTCCCCACGGACCAAGAGCACCACAAGGCACAAGCCTGGTGGTCCCTCTGCACCACTGGATGTGGCCCTGGTGACCTCAGCACATGAGCAGCGCCATACTGCCTGGTCTGAGCACTGGCCCGCTAGGCCAGCAGTCAGGAGGATTAGCGCTCGGCCACAGGCCTACTCAGGACTGCTGGGAGGCTCAAAAGAAAACAAATATTTACATACTGACAGTCTGTCATAAGTGCAGCAGAAGCCAGGACTGCTCAGACCAGCCAGTATACAGATCAGTGACTGCTCAACAGTAACAGCCTGACAGCAGATCTTTTTAGTTAACACATCCACAAAAGATAATAGGAAACTTAGTTCTGCATCATTAGTAATCAAGAGAAAATAAAAATTGATTTCAGACACTCTTGCAGATAGAAGTAAAAAGTCTGAGTGTCATCAAATCCCACACTGCATTTTCCCATACAACTAAAAATTTTTGCAAATTTTTGGCAGGTAAAGGTAAAGAAAGGCCCTCCCGTTGTTCGTCGATTTGCTCGAGCGGGCCCAGTAACGTCTCCATTGGAGACTTTGTTGTTACTGTGTCTGGCATATCGAATACTCTCGGTAGCTTGCCGGGCTCTCCGAGAGGGGCGGAGGAATCGAACTTGGGTCGGCCATGTTGGCTGCGTGCAAGGCAAACGCCCTACCGCTGTGAAAATTTTACTTCATGATTTCAAGTAATGAAAAACTATTAGCGGATTCATGGCAACTAATATAAATCAAATAAATGGCTATTAAAATTTTGACTTCTTAAAATTATATCAGGAGTTCCACATAACCTTACCTGGGGTGGATAGTTGCTCTCTGAAGACCACCTTGAAGACTGGTCATTTGGTTTATCCACTAAAATGTTTCTGAAATAAGAAAATAGTAGCAATTAATTTTAAAAAGTAATGGAGTTGGTGATTCACTAGCAGGGACTAAGGTACTTGGCCTTGTACAGGCAATCTCAGCTCAATCGCAGTGTTGGGGTCTCAGCAGCTAGCCTGAGACTTTCACCAAATCCCCTGCCCCTGGAAGCAAGAGCTGGCCCAGTTTACAAAAATCCAGGGGGCCATCCCAGCACCCCCCACAGGCAGGCACTCTGGTTAAGAATGAGGGACATGATGGTGCCCACCTATTCATATTGTTAACCTGGCCCTAAGAGCAGGATATGTAAATCATTAACTGACATCTGTAGGAGCACCTACCTGAGAAGCCTGAGAAGCATGCGTGCCGTACTAGGGAACCGAGCTATATGTTGGATTGCCCGCCCCCGCCCCCCCCCCCCCCCCCCCCCGCAGTGTACGTATAAGAACCCCTGGGTAGGGGCCAGTAAACGGGAGAACTGCTTGACCACCAGACTTCCCCCCTCTGTGGCTTTCTTTCTGGCAGCTATGGGCAGCAGCAGGAATCCAGGAATCCCGGAATCCTGCAGTGTGCAGAAGGCCAGGGCAGAGGCTTCTCCCCTACCCATTCCCTCCCATTTAGGGAGTAAGTCTGGCAACTTCAGGGGTTCATACTCCAGTTTTCCGGGGGTCAACTGGCCAGGGCCCTGACACCGCAGCACCAGATACTGGTCCCTGAGCACCACCAAGGACCACTCCCAAGCCCAGGACCAGGAATAAATAAATCCTCAGCATCGCTGGGTGTTGGCCCAATGCCAACCTGCCCATATTAAAAAAGAACACAAGTGTTCAAAAATAAGACAAATCTACCAGATGCTGAAAATACGGTGCTATAGAACACCTAAAACTTAAAAAAAAAAAAAGAAAAAAAAGAAAATCGAATTAAAGATTTTAAAATATCAGGAGGATAAAATTTTAGATCGTGAATATAGATGTGTGCATATATGTGTGTACAGTTTTTACTTCATACCTAGTAACAAAGGCTGGAGCGATAGCACAGCGGTAGGGCATTTGCCTTGCACGCGGCCGCCCAACCCACCCGGGTTCGATTCCTCCGCCCCTCTCGGAGAGCCTGGGTAAGCTACCGAGAGTATCTCGCCTGCATGGCAAAGCCTGGCAAGCTACCAGTGACGTATTCAATATGCCAAACATAGTTAACAAGAAGTCTCAAAATGGAGACGTTACTGGGTCCCCTTAAGCAAATTGATGAACAAGGGAGGACAGTGCTACAGTGCTACCTAGTAATAAAATGAACTGTACATTATTTAGATATAAGGCTGAAACAAAGTAATAAAATACCAATGAAACAATGTCATATATTCTATATTTATATCTATAATTTTCCTGTGATGTTATCTATTTATATCAAAGCTATATAACATTATATATAAACAATCTTTGCATCAAGGGGGTCTCTTATAAACACAGCATCCAAAGCAAAACTGGGCAAAAAAAGAGTCTGATAAGATCAACTTTGGAAGATAGTGCTTTTCGACGGAAACGCTTAAGATTAAAGATAAAAAGAACTATTTATAAAAATGACACTATGTGGTAAAGACATTTTTCACAGAAGTATGAGTTAATTCTGAAACACTCTGCATGGATACTGGGGTTGAACAAATAAGCAAAGGAATGAAGCAAACAAGGGCAGAGAGGTTAGTACAAATCCAGTGGAACTGGATTACAGTCAGCAATGTCAGTGTGAAGGCAAGTTTAGCTTAACAACAGATAAACAGTCACAAAAGAAGTTACCAACTTATGGGTACTTCCATGCACACACACTAGCAGTATTTCCTAGCTCTATTAGTGCCCATAGCAATGCACACCCCCAGCGCACAAAACTTTGTTTCTACACACCATCTTCAATAACAATGAAAACTGGGACTCTGGGGGAAACAGATTCTGTCTCTAACGTTGGGGTGAGGAATTCATAAGACAAGCCTGGAGCATTCTGTACTGCTTAAGAAAAAAAAAAAAAAGCAAAGCCAAAAGGACTGAGCCATAGTCAAAGCAACACAAAGGAGCTAACATCTAAGAATGGCCAGAACAGCAATGATTTTGGCAACAAAATTTACAAAGTAGCAGTGCATTCTAATCCAAAATATAAAATAAATACTCATAAGCAGAATGGACAAGCCCCCTTTGACAATTAGAAAAACAAACTCATGCTGAAGATTTTGTTATTTTTGCATTATGCAACAAAGCACATGGCCAGTGATACTCAAAACTCTCAGTATGTTTTAAAAAGACAGAGTAAGACGCTGTCACCAATCAGAAGAGTAAGTTATGACAACTTAAAGTTATGGCATCCTGGATGGGATCCTAGATGATGAAAAGGACATTAGTGGGGAAACAAAATTTAAGTAAAATGTGGAGTTCAGGTAACAGTAATGCAGTAATGTCTGTAATTTAGTTGTGACAAAGATATCAAGGTAATCTAAGATATTAGCAATAGGTAAAATGAGGGAGAGGCGTAAGAGTGAGCTAACTTTGCAACTTTTCTGTTATTCTAAAATTTTTCCAAAATGAAAATGCACATTTTTAAAAAATTAGACCCGTACCTCACATAGACGGTATTTAATAAGTTTACAAGATTTTAGATAGAACTATAAGGGGGGAAACTGCCAATACAACAGAGCCAGAGAGATAGTGCTTGCCTTTACAGGCAGACATCCTAATTCAATCCTAACACTATATACAGATCTAGGAGTAACTACCTCTGATCACAGAGTCAAAAGTGAGCCCTGAGCACTGCTATATACAAATATATGTGATGATTTAAAGTTTAATTATAGTCATAAATGAGGAAAAAGACAACATAAATTGTTAATACAACTTTCAATGAAAGTATAGTTTCACCTTTATACTTTGAATTTTCTAAAATTAATATACTGCTTTCAAAATCTGTGGAAAATATGTTTGCAAGAATTATAAAACAGTATGAGATAAGAACTATGAAAAAACTGCAATACAATTCAAAGTTAAAGCTAAAAAACTAGGATTTTTTTTTAAATCACTGACATGTAAGTTATAAAGCATGAATAAAGCCTATCTATGATAAACCTGGATCATAAAAATGACAAAGTATAATAAATTTGGAGCAGGGAGGATTTCGAGGAGATACGTAAACGAGCTTATTTCATCATCTTTTATAGCTCCTGGGAATAATGTTTCTGAAAGTGAGAAAGGAAAAAACATATTTAAGAATACTATTTAAAAGCTTAGAATCAGGCAGGATTAGAATTAAAATATGCTACCTACATTCTAAATTGTTAATACAAAATATTAACAAAAACCAATAAGCAAAAAAGCAGTAAATAAAACAATAAAAACAGAAACATTAATGCTATGCAAAAGACAGCACACACCATCTAATATAGCTACACATAAAAAGGACCTAAAGTAACAAAGTAGAATGTATGTTGGAAGAATAGCAGAAACACTATCCACATGAAGGGGCACAGATAATAACAAAGTGAATCGTGACAGACATACCGAAGTAGAAAATTTGTAAATCCAGGGGGAATTTAAAGCAACAAGTACTTGTTGGTTGAAAACCACAGCTAAATACTAATGAAGATTAAGCCAGTGTATCAATATAACTTTTGAATGTTAATGAATCAGAGAAAATAAAGCAAAAATATAAGTAATAAGAAGTGAATAAAAATAGTAATAGAAGATTAACATTTCTCACACCTGGAAAAACATCTTCATAATGGCAAAAATAGTAAGGAACAATACTCTTATGAATAAAAATGTAACAAAGCAAGAGAAAGAAAAGGAATGTATGACATGGGGGAGCTCCCCATGCTACAAAGTGAGAAGGGAGCTGGGCCACTAAATGTGGAAGTCAAGGCCAAACAGACTAGTCCTGATCCGGAAGATTCTGAAAAGCTATTAAACACGCACTGAAAGTGCTGCAATTGGTTATGAGACTGAAATGCAAGAGAAATCCCAGCTTTGTAAACAATTTCTCTTTCAAGACCAGTGTATCTCTTCTAAAAATCTGAAGCCATGGCCCAGAATGAGATGGAACTGGAGAAGAGAAGCTGGAGGATGATGCTCTAGGGGCCCATCAGTTAGGGAGCCCAGAGGAGAAAGATGAAGGAGGTAGAGACTGAGAAAAGCCAAAGGTGAAGAAAAGAAATCGGAAAGTTGAGGGTGTATGCTTAAGAAAGTACTCGTGCAAGGCAAACGCCCCACCGGCTATGCTACCTCTCCAGCCCTTAAGAAAGTACTTTTAAAGGAAGTGGAAAGTGACATAAAATGCTGAGAGTGTCTGAGCTGGTGGTTTTCACCCTCATATCCCTAAGTCCAAGTCAAAATGTTACCATGGAAGTACTTATAAACTGCTACCTAGTAGAAAGTGTCAAAATGGATCCATGAAACTATCCCTATAATTCGATTACTTATACTAAGTTGAAATACAAATAAAAGAGAAGTAAAATACAAACCAAAAATGGGAAGGTTTGGAAAGACAGAAGTCTGAAAGTATTTCAGATCACCTCCATCTCAACATTAAGTCAAGTGAGCACCTCTCACAAGCCCGACAGGGGACGGACAAAACACTGACCACAGGAGAACCAATGTGATCTTGAATACCTGCCCCAGGAGAAAGGCATCAACTGCTAAAGAGTTCCTGGGACAATCTTTGTGACTAACAAAGAACAGAATAAGAAAAAAAGCTGCACCAAAAAAATAATGCATATTGTCGAAAGTAGACTATGGACTGAACATGTTTGCCACTCAATGCCTCTTTTGCAGACCACAACGCCCAAAAGGAGAGAGAGAACACAGGGGATTGCCCTGCCACAGAGACAGGGGGGATGGGGGGATGGGGGTGGGAGGGATATTATCTATGGTGGTGGAAATTGGGCACTGGTGGAGGGATGGGTATCTGATCATTGTATAATTGAAACCAAAGCACAAAAAATTGTAAATCTACAACTTAAAAAAAAAATAAAATA